CGCCTCATGAAAATGCGTCCAAGCGACGTTGAATTTGAACGAGGAGGAAGTGCAGAAATTTTAAAGTATAAAATGCTTAAATCTCGGTAACGAAAGCCGGCAGCATCTTTTTCCTCTGCTTTGGGGGAATAAATTTTACTTGGGTATTTTAGCTAAATTAAAAGACCGGAGCTCGCTGCACCGATCCTCCCCGGAAATCAGTTTGACGGGAAATTAGCGAAACGGCACGCAGCACGCACGGCTCTAATAAAGTGAAGGGAATTCGCGAATGGGGATGGGAATGGACAAGGATGAAGGGGGAGAGAGGGGGGTGGTGGTGGTGGTATTCCTGGAATTTAAAAAGTTTGAGAAAAATGTTGGGAATTCGAGGAGAGGAGATCTGCAAAAGAGCTACTGCGAATTGGAGGAAGAAGGGTAAAAAGATTAAAAGTTTTAGCCTCTGTTCGTCCAGTAGGAATTCCGAGTCTGCCTTCCCAATGGAATCATGTACCTGCGTGAAGTTTTTTCTTCTTTCTTTTTTTTTTTCTTCTTTTTTTCTTCGTTCGAAGCGTACATACGAGTTGTCGATCGTCGAGAAAGTACTTTCGCATAAATTTGAATATACGCGATTATTCCCTGGGGAAATATACCAACACTACCTTTTGGATTTACATATCGACTCCTGTTTCGCGTATGACTATAGATACATCACCTTCCGTGTCCATCGCGATACGCGAGCCACGCGTGTTGGTATGCTTGAATAACGAGATAAAAAAGAAAGAAGAAATATTAGCTTAGGATCAATGCATTTACATTGACATTCTGCCATTACGATTTCAATATTTAAATTCGCCTGATAAATCATTATGATTTTTGAGAATTTGAAAAATTCATATATTACGAGAAACATGAACTCCCGAGGGATAACAATGAATAGGAACACCTTGAGGTCAGATTGCGCAACGACTTGGTCCAAACGTACCTGAACACGTAGGACAGTGTATATCATCGAGTGTTTACAGCATCCTAGAGATACGAAAAGACGTACCGGAATGGTCCACGTGTCACGTGTAATCCGACGTCAGAGATAAGGCGGCTCCCATTTCGCTTCTTCTTCTCGAGAGACTAAAACGCTTCTCTTTCGTTTACACGTGCATAATCATTGTCAGTAGAATAATAGAAGTTGGCGCAGCACCAGTGCTCAGGGAAAACAGTCTCGCGTAAGTGAATCGAAATTTTCGATATTTTCGTGGGAATTGTCTGGCCGACTGGCGTCGAGCGGGACTATCGACTGCGAGCCGGCAGATACATTAACTTTTCATAGTGTCTCTGTGCTCTCCGTGTCACTCTTTTCCTTTTCCCTTTTTACGTCTTCGTCCATAAAGGTGCGCTTCTATCCACTGCACAACTGGTGCTTTGTCGTCTCTCATGAATAACTCGAGTAATTCTGGCTTTCTGGCTGACGATAAAATTTTATTTGTCTCCCATATTTCACTTGCACATCGCCTCACGCATCATTCATTTACTGTTTTTTAGACGAAGGGCAACATTCATTTATCTATTCTACCAAAGTAATACCGAATATTCATGCACAGTCCTATAGGTATTCTCCTTGTGCTTAATTAACACTAGAACTACCGTCAACAGTCAACTTGACTGTTTTCAACGTAAATTTGCCCTTAACAAAAATCATCGGTATATCAGGTGTTAAAGAGGATTTCTTATGTACTTTACAACACCAGAATATCCTTTTTCGTTTTCTTTCTTACCGACGTAAGACTTGTACATTTATTCGTTTCCATGGTATAGACGGTAATAGACCTTGTATATAATCGTATCCGTTAATCCATTCAGAGCCACCTTAACCAGAGCGCTTGTGTGAAGACACGTATATTTGTTACACGTTAAAAATGAGTTTTTCAGTTTCTACTGTTTTGAACGGCAGCCAAGTGACAAGTTATTTCTTTTGCATTTTTCGCCGCTAGTGGAGACGCGATACAAGTTAAGTTCGATCGGTAAGGAAGGTAAAGTGCAGAAACGTTTACGTACGCCGACCGAGGATACAACAGGGATGATGTTGGGCGACACAGGGGGTAATAATAAAGCCGAACTAAGCACTCTGCCGCCGACAAACTGTACGACAGTTGTCTACGCCTTCCCAGAGGAGGATCGTGTCGTTGTCGGATATCTCAATGAGTGGATCAATGCCTACTCCTTTATATCAAGTAAGTACATTGCCATAAGAGTCAGCCCTTAGTGGTAAAGTTCTTTCTTACCGACCGACGGGAACGGCAAACGGAATGACGATTCCTTTACCAACCGAGCCAACCCCTAGTACATCCATATCCACAGGGGGTAGATTCCTGGAACAGGAAAGGGTGTGAATTATCGACTCACGCTGAAAGTCGTACTGACGGTAATTGTTCAAATTTTGTTTATCCAGAAATATTGTTAAAATTTCTATTTTGCCATGTACCGACGAGACGGATGACGAAGAAGTCTGCAAATTCTCCACTGACGATAGTATTGATTATCGCGAAATTCTCTCGATGTAAAGTTGTGAAATTTGATTTGTTCCAAAAGTATGTGTAGAAAAAAGTAATTCAGGTAAAATATGCTCGCAGAGATGCGAGAGTAGCCAATTTGGGAGATTAAAACCGCAGACTTGGCGTAACGTACGACTCGGCAGCGTTCGGAGCGAAGTGTAATTTATGTATATGACCAAGTCAACACATTCGCATCCGTCCGATGAAAATTCATCGAATTTTTGTCTGCGAACCTCGTATACAGTAATAATACTGTATAGATTGACGGATGAATTTTCCACGTACAACCCTAGAATCATACTTCATTCTCTGATTGGGCAATACTAAACAAAATTTTTTCTTTAAATTTCACTCCCTTAGCCTTCTTTTTACAATACCAATTTCTCCCTCCTACCACGCAACGATGCTGCGTCTGTCAGAACGCTGTTTTGCATTTGCGCATTTACAATTTCAATTTCCCAACCGTGCATAATAATTATCATCCATATCCTCCCGTATATCCATACTGTATTCAAAGTGTATGCAGTAGAATGTAGTTATGCATGTGACTAAATTTTTTGCCGTAGATTTTTTTACATTAGAAATCATTGTCCTCTTGTCCATTTTTTCTCCGTGCAGATTATCTATATAAATTTGAATTAACATTACATACAATACTTATTCACTCCTTCACTCCATTCATCCTGCATTGGACTGTATCGTTACCGAGTGGCTTTGATAAAAATAAAATTGAAAAACTAAAAAAAGCCAAAAAAAAGTCTTTCGGAAGGGTCGCACGTCGAGTAAAAGAGACGAGGCAATCGCATCGCCCGTACCATCAGAAAATAAAAAGATACCCTTGAGAAAGTCCATTCTTCACTCGCACCCTTATCAACGTTATTTTTAAATGGCGTAAAAAATAATTGAAAAATTTTACAGGAAAATTCACAAACATACCATTAAAAATTGACTTACAATTATCCGTGATCATACAGAAAACCAGGAGAAATTCTATCTGTACATCATCGTGTCCTCGACCGCCGGGATCCTCCTCTTCTTGGGCGTAGTGATCGGGCGTCTCCTGGTGAGTCGTCATCGGGCAAAGAGGGATGCAAAATTTCACGCAAATAACGAGCCATTGCCAAATGGTTTTACTGACGACATATCGGAAATCGACGCCGATATTGATCTGACCACTCCAGCACCTGTATCGATGCAGGACACCAGGTAATCCTTATATGAATTTCCGCACTACCCGAGACTTGGGTCTGAAGTTTCGAATTCTATAAATTAACCCCATCAATTTTTCCATTTCGCATAAGGCTACCGGAAACGCAATTGGCAGAACGACTTCACGGCGAACGTTACTACGGGGATGCTCGTATTCCACTGTCGCCATCCTCTATTCATGGCAGCCACCAAACTCATCCGAGTCATCCGACCCATCAGATCCATCACAGCCTGAATCCTGGGGTACGTGTCGACTTGGGCAACCACATGGTCGGGACGGACAGTCTGCATACGATTCTACGCTCCGAGAATCCCAGGAGCCTCACCAACAAGAGCTACTATTATGGCTGACAAGACGAAGGGGTTGTCCCGCGCGAGGGACGACCTCCCTCCCTTAGTCCAGTGCCGGAAGTCAGCACCCGGAAGTACTGTTTCTAAACGGGGCTCATGCGTCTCACTTGAGAGAATTGTTCGGTCACTGTAAATAGAGGATGGTTCATGGCGCCGCTCCCCATGTCAAACGCATTAATTCCTCTTAATTGTTCCATTAGCTGTCACTCTCTTCCCCTCCTTTCTCAACTTCCACGTGTTACCTCGCCATTGATTATTTACCCTTATCCTGCATATAGCTTTGGAGCCCCTTTTTTACTCGTCTCCTTGAGCTTATGAGGACTCATAAGATTTTCAGAGCTTCTGTCGGATTCCCTTCAATTTATAATACGCGTATACTCTCTTCCTGTTTAAGATATGAGGGAAGGTGGTGATAAGGGATCACGGACTTCAGGAGTCTGAGATTTAAAGAGGAGACGCTGTGATCCATTCGTTTCGCCGAAGTGAATGTTGCGCTGGCTGAAGGGTCAATTTGTTTTTAATTAAATTATTAAATTACAATGAAAAATTGCGAGACTCTTTCTTATATAGCGAAATCTATGTACATAGGGATATGCGAATTAAATGTGGATAATGTGTGGAAGAGTGTGGCAGTGCGTGAGAGATTAAAGAACGCAGCTGAGACTTGACATTGTGCCATTAATTAATGTTATACGAGTATACCAACTCGCGAGGCGGGTAAATGTTGGGAAATCCGCAATTTTATATTTTTCTTCTGTTGTATCTTTTAAAAATCTTTTTTCACTACTGCTTCTTACCTCGTTCCTTCGATTTTTTTTTTATTTTCGGCTTGACGTTGGTATCGCGACCTAAGTCGGACATTTTGAAACGTCCAATACTCTGTCGAAGGACGAACCGTTAATTTTTAACAAAATTCTCGGACTTTACCGTCGGCCGCCAATTTGCCAGGAACGCGACACAAGTAATTTAACCGCGAGCAATTAAAACGCTCGTCCACCTCAACGCAGACCATAACACTGGCTACAAGTAGAAATACTGAGAATACGCAAACTGGTTCTGGCATTTGTTTCATATGGATATAAATAATAAAGAAAAGGGAAAAACCGAAAAAAAAAACAAATTAGCAGCAAATCGACTGATAAACTTTTCGCAAATATTAAATTCGATTCTAATGAAAATCAATAAGAGACATTGCGAAGCGACCAGCCGAATCATCTTCGCTGAAGTTCACACCAAAACTTCTTTTTTATTAGATTCTCAAGAAAATATTCGTTACACTGCCGCGTTTTAATTGGTCTTGTTAATTAAGGCTCTTGTCGCGAGTGCAACTGAATTGCCAAGTGTAGGCCGCAGAGTTTCCTGACGCAATAGTGAAAGATCCCAGTGGCAAGAATGTAATTTTTATTTTTTTATCGTTCATTCGCCTTGTCTCACATTTCTCTTGAGTCTTACTTTATTTTTCTCAACGTCTTCCGTTTTGTATTTTTATTTCTTATATACTATTTCTTATATCGTATTCGCTAGCTTCGCCTCTTGCTTCTTGTCAACCAGCGGTGATAACGATGTAGCCTGACTAGCTTCTCGGTCTTAACTCGTCCATCAAGAAAAGTCGAGGAGAGCGAATGGGCTAATACTGTACCAAAGATAATTAAGATCAAATTAATGAAATGATATTTCTATTCTTGTTGAAGTATTTTCAGCGGAGTGCCTGATATTCTTAGAAAGGGGGAGTGGATGGTCACGGTACCAGCGTCTCCATAATGTATCTTCATCAGCAGCACCTAGATTGCCTCATCCAAAATACTATAAAATTATGAAAAAAAGAAGTATTGATGCAAAAACAATAAATTAATTTAAAGACAATGGAGAAATAGTTGCTGGTAACGTGACCGGTCGCCTCGATCTTAAATCGAATAATCTTTTGTATGTAAAAAAATGAAAATTATAGATCAATCAAGGGAGGAGTGTATCGTGTCAATAGGTTTCTATGCGAGTACTTAACTGTTGTAAATAATATTGTATAAATATTTAATTATATAATTTCGGCCCACATTGATCGACTAGAAATAAGCGTCGTCTTTCACGATGATGCACTTTCGCGGACACCCTTACCCGGAGTGTTAAGTCGATTTAGGATAATTAATTGTAAAATACTAATTGCGAAATACGCACCAATGGATACGTCGGCGCAACGGCCCTCCCTCCACACCCCTCTGTCCAATCCCTTTTCGTCATAGTTTTCCTGTAAACGTCCCGTTGGCATATATTCGTATAACGTGTATGGACGGCTAGGATTTGTGGATGAAAGAAAAAAAAATATTATAATCGAATTTTCGACTGATTCGCAATAACTCGATAATAGCGAAGCTCATTAATTGTATTTGCCACGTCAGCTCCATTGGGTGCACCGCCGTAGGCCATTTCGTGCCGCTGAATCAAAGTGCGGAAAACACCGTATTCCTGTAATATGGGGGTTAGCGCTCTAGGCAACCGCCATAGTTAATAAATCATTAAAGATATATCGAACGAGGGTATAATTAATTAATAAAGACATTTCCACGGATTCCGCGTCAGTTAAGGATTTCAATTGTGCGAATTCGAGCTGCCAGCACGCGTCCACACGTGTAATTATATATTAGCCATTAAAGTTTAAATCCCTTTAAGTTCGCTTAATATTAAAATCTGCGATCGTGACGAGTTGCAAAGCGAAATTGCACGAGAAGAATCTCAATGAATTAAGTAAATAAAAGAATTAAGGATAAAACAGGAGAAATAAGAGAAGGAAGAAAAAGGAGCATCGATTATTCATTCGGCTGCTAAATGAAATGTGAAATACCTATTGTACATCTTGATACATAAAGGGAAAATATCGACAAGAAACAGTAGCATTTAAGAAGCGACGTTTCCCGCAATCCCAATATTAACGAAGAAACTAATGGAACATAAGCTGCACGAGATGTACCGTTCAATACTCATATCTCATAATACATGTTTATATAACTAGGAATAATCGATTCGACCCAATGCGAGTTAAGTAATTATCGTATTGTAAGTCTCTGTTGTTATATCATCAAAATAAATATGATCTATTGTCATAAAAACAAGAAGTCTCTTCGGATCTTCGTAGTCCAGTTGTCAAACGTGTCAAATTGCGATTAGAACATAAACATTGTGTGAACGAGGACAATGCGCGCGCTGTCCAGTAAATACCATTAGAATATAATCACTCACATATTTTATTAGCATACTTTTTCCTCGACCAGTTTATTATTTCTTTAACAATTTTTTTCACAACGTTACAATCATCCGGCACGCGTCTCGCGGATCGTTCCCCGTGCTCTGTATTCTTATTCCCGGCACCAGCTGCCGATGACAGACCGGAAACGTAAGAAGCGTAAAGAGAGTACAAAGCACATAAGGCGAGCCTCCTCTGTAGAGACTCAATCGAATATTCCCTGAAAAGAAGTCGCCTTCAGAGCGAGGATCGATCGATCGTCCCGCTCCGGTTTGATACTTTCGTCACGGTTCCCCTTTCGCCTTTCGGTCATTAGGACACCGTCAACCCCTGCGTTATACTACCCCTGACGCAAATGCAAATCGAGCTCACGCGCATGATAAGGTTTGTATGTTTCTCTCCTGTACACTGTACACACATCCACCCTCTCTGTCTCTCCTATCGCTTCTTCTTCTTTTTTTTTCCTTTCTTTTTTCTTTATCGCCCCCTGAATCCCGCATTCATTATCTGCGACGACCCGCAGCTCTTCCACGGAAATTCCCACGTGAATTTCGCATACACCATTCCCATCGTATGCAAAGTGCGTGCGTGATTTTGCAATATGAAATTACATATATATCAATGTCCCCGTTTCCCTATATTTCTTACTTTTTTTCTTCAATCTTATTATTCACCGTAATCACTCCTTCGGAACTTCATTTGCACGGGCAATCATACACATTTTTTTGTATCTGCAATTATTACCCGTATTCGCCAGATGCGTGCCTTAATGATATTTAATGATTCAGCGAGCGATCGAACACCGAGACCATTTACAGTTCTCTTTCCCAGTGTCACCTCTTCACCCCCACGACCCTCGCCGCCCCTCGCGCCACCCCGCCTACCGTCCACGGTCTAGTTGTCATGCGCCTCTGCAATTAAGACCCAGAGGAAATGTATTGTTAATCGGAAATGTCACGTTTCCTCACAATTGCATTCGATAATTCAATTCAAAAGTCCGATTATTCAATAAGCTCGTGATTGACGTTTAATATCTATCCTCGCACCCGGTAAATACTTTTTTTACAAAATACTTGTCATTCATCTCACGCGCAGTTCTAAGGATCGTATATCGATAAGGAGATGCTGGATGGAATCGTGCGAAATATATAAAAACTTTTTCCTTTCACTTTTTTATCTAACCCTACACGCGGATTCCCTTATCAGGTCGTCCGTTAACGTTTCCCACGTCTTTTCATGAAAATTCATAAAGATACGCTAACACCCACCCCACCCACTCTACCGATACCCTTCGTTCGGATAGCTATCAAAAGTCCCTGCTCTTTTACCTTAATCGTATATTACGTTCCGTTTGCTTTTGGTTACCAAATTTCTTTGAGCGTTCTTCACAGCGACCAGTATCGATCCCGGCTGAGTTTCGATATCGTGACAAAGCCGGATATTCCATTTGGCACGTGGTATAACATATTACCTATCGGTTCCCGTGTCACCACGTTCCGTGAAATTAAAAAAAATGTGCGCCATCGTTCCACGCAAAATGACTTCGAGGGTGGCCTTGGTACGGATGAACCGTTATACGGTGTCAGAAAGTGAAACGAGAGGGGTGCGATGAGGTCAGGTCAGGTCTGGAAAGTGTGATTCTGGGGAGGACGGGTCCACCGATGGATGAGATCGTATTTGCATCGAATTACAGGGGTATAACGGTGCTCTGGGTTGTACCCTCGATCTCTCCAGCAGTGGCTGTAGGAGTTGGACATAGAGAGGGGTAGGTAGCGCTTTAGGTATATATATATATAGATATAGAATCCATAGACAGAGGTACGTATATGTATATACATCACGGGTCGATATACCACTCCGAGGCACAGCCCCACGACACTCCTGTCAACCCCATCCCAGGGGCAACTTCGAGTCCCCGTCCTTACCCAAGTACTCCTGACTATTCCAGCCTTTATTCCGATTCTTACTTTCCTCCCTTTTGCTTGCTCGCCAGATCAACGATTACGTCGATTTACCCATTGTACAGTTGCCTACTCGACCCCGGTCCAATTCCACAATTTGAAATTAACGCGGAGAAGAATAAATACTGAATCCATAAGAAAACTGGTTCTGATGTAAATTTTGGCAGTAGCACAATTTGTTGGTGATAATTTGCTAAAGGAATAAAATGGCATAACGTTATACCTGACGGTATATAAGTGAATGGCCTCTTGTTTCGTGTCCTGCCTGTATGTTCCGACCTGCCGATTGCGAGAAAGGACTAATTCATTTTGGTTATTCGTAAGTTGACGGTTAACCGCACTGAAACGGCGCTGGCTAATGGCGAAGGGCGAATGGCGAATGGCAATTATCAAGAGGCGAATAAGTTTTGTCAGGTAAAATAGTTGGTTAGCCAGTGGCTAAAAATAAGGTAAGCACACCCACATCGCGATGCTCCATCTGACGTGCGTGTTGGGGTCGGCAAGACGCGTGCCTGACTGGCTGGGTTGTAGGGTCGCGACCCGATACTTCATTTTGTAGCTTGGTAAGGAGGTAAATGGGACTTTTTCCATGCAGGACAAAAGGAGGGAATGGTTTTTGGACTAGCCCGCAGGTGACATTGGCTCTTCGTCTGAACCATGATTAAGGAGAAGTGCCTTGTGTCTTGTTGGGAAGCACGTGGAAGCACGAAAGCTCGTGGGAGGTAAAAGTACGAGCGCGAAAAGTTTGCCGAGCTTAACGGAGCTTCATCGAACGAGACGTACTTGGGGATACTTGGAGGTCGCGTCCGTGATCACCTGACTGGCCGTGCTCGACTGTTGCCTGTCAAGACCCTGAAAAAAGTTGGGAAGCTTCGATAAATTAAGAAAACAAGCTCAGATCCATTTTCAGGTATATTTGCAAGCTCGGGAAAAGTAATGCTTTACGGGATGCGAAAATGCAGCAGTCCCTCGTGTATGGACTCAGTCTGGAATTCGCGAAAGTTTTCCCAGTTTGCTTCTGGCCCCCCCGTACTCGCTTTCCACGGCAACCCCCTGGTCTCCACTTTAGTTACGAGCTTTCGAGGACCCCGTCCTGGCATCCGAAAAATTTCCGAAAATCTACCTCGACGAGTCGCCGAGTCAGCGTAAACTAGTCAACTGGTAATCTACAGTCGAATAGCGAATAAATACCAGAGTTTTGCTCCTTCAGCCAGCGAAATGGACGAATCTTCTTTGATTTTCGCTGGCGCATTAGAAAATTCGTAAAAGCTTCGAGCTGGCACTGACGTAACTTTGAAGAATTTTGCCTCGGGCAAAAGGAATCAGGAGGAAGTGGGCGGAGGGACGAAGGGGTTGAAGGGGAAACGAAGGATCCTTCAGACGAGTCATTTAACGAAAGTTCATGTGCCTTGACGTGACAGGAGGGGGGGAGTGGGGGAGGGACGCTGGACGTCAGTGCCACCTAAACAAAGGAATTGCCGAGTTTACTCGAACGAATGGAGGTGTAGATACATTAAATGTCTTCGTACCTTGCGAGCTCCCAACTGGTGACAAATTGTCTGCCCGGACGAAGGTTGTGCGCCAGTTGCGCCACCGAGCATTAAACGGATCCTTCCTTGAATCTTCTTCACAGAAGAGACACAAATGGGACGAAGAATTTGTTATTCCAAAACCCCCCTAAAGTTTCTTCCTCGAATTTAACACTTTTGCTCGAAATACGTGAGCTTTATAAATTTCTTGAATTCTGCCCAATGGAGTCTCTCAGCTGCTTTATATGGACTCTAATGAATCCGCTTTGGAACCAGGACCGTAAAAATACAGTTTCCCGGGTTCGTAAGCTCGTTTTAGCCGGCCATGGGCGCCGTTCCATGTAATTAAAGAAATGACCCAGGCTGCTGACCCTGTTTCGCATTAAACACTTTCGCCATCGCGTGCGCCGGGGAAAAGCAGCGCCGGTCCCTGTCATTGTGTGTGGCAGCACCCTTCCTATAGATACAGCCCTGCCAGGCCATTCCATCTTACTTGTTTCTTGGCAGTTGCCGCTTTGCAAAAAAAAAAGGAACTGGGAAAGCTGAAAGGTTCCTGCGTCCTTTCAATGACTCTCGACTCGCTAAGGTAGATTAAGGAGACTCTGCTCCGGGACTTCGGAACCTTATTTCTTATTGGCGTGAAAAAAGCAGGGGGGAAGCCTGAGAAAATGACGATGCTTATCCAGAGGAAACTACGTATCACATATAGCATCAAAATGCTTCTGATAAATATCTATGCGAATGCAAGGGAGAAGGTTGGTACCTATATATGTAGGTTTGGTTGTAGGTGGTTTTAGGTGGTCTTAGGTGGCCCCAGGACTGTTATGGATGGTCTTAGGTGGGTTTGCTTCGTAAAATTTGCACTAGACGAAACGACTCGGATACGAGCTGCCGGAGCCATTATTTTGCCTTATACTCCTTTTACTGTCCTCGCAGCATCCATCCTCTTAGGATTATTTCTCTTATTCATTCTGCGCTCCCCTATTCATCGGGTGCCTCCTGTCAGTCGTAGACTCTTATGAAAATTCCAGGCCTTAACTGATATTCCGATCGGAGGAAGGAAATATGCCCAAGGGTCGCGCCCTCTGATTTATACGGCAGATACCGTGAATTCAGTTTATGCAAATATTATTGCAGTTGAATTGCTCTGGCACTGCGCCCACGCGTGCTTCTGAATTTTGCAACAATACCGGATTTTACCCAGTCACCTCCCCCCTGCCGCGCCGAAGACAGATTTCAAGGGACGTTAATAATTGGTTATGACGGGATAAAAAATGTGCCTCCAATTTTCTGCCGATTCAATTATCCGAAATCGTGCCAAATCTTTTTTTCATCATTTTGCCCGAGACTAAAGATTTGATCTTTGGAGGTAAATC